ATCCCAGCAATTTGGGAGACTGAGGCAGGCCGATCACTTGAGGCCAGGAGTTTGAGACCACCCTGGCCAACATGGTGAAATCCTGTCTCTACTATAAAGACAAAAATTAGCCGGGTGTGGTGGCGCACACCTGTAATCCCAGATACTGGGGAGGCTGAGGCATGAGAATCATTGGACCAGGGAGGCGGAGGTTGTAGTGAGCTGCAATGGCACCACTGCACTCCAGCCTGGGCAATACAGTGAGACTCTGTCTCAAAAAAAAAAAAAAAGTTCCGTTGAATATTTCTATAAGTGTTCCAATTCAGCATTGTTGGAAGTTGTTTCATGCTAAGTAAAGTATCTTCCCCAAACAGTATGTTACTGTTCAAAGTAAAAGTAAATGAGAGAATGCCCTGTAACAGAAGACTCTTTAAGGATTTGAATATAAGACACCACCTTCTCTTTCGAAAGATAATTTTGGGAACAAAACCTCACCTTCTGTGGGAGATGTAGAATACATCAGTCAACCATAGCAATCAAAGACTTTCCAAGCATTATGTTGGCACTGTTTTTATTTTGCATATATTATTTTTACAGACTACTAAATTCTTAAACATAAAATATTGAGTAAGATTAATTAGCATCTTAGAAATGCAAGAGGTTGGAAATCCATCTTCAGAATGCATTTATACATTTCCTGCCTTCTAGATCATTGTCGTTCTCATTCTGCTTTCTGCTGGTCTTGCCATCGGCCATGCTTATTGGGAAGCACAGGTGGGCAATTACTCTTGGTACCTCTATGACGGAGAAGACGCTACACCCTCCCTCCGTGGATTCTTCAATTTCTGGGGCTACATCATTGTTCTGAACACTATGGTACCCATCTCTCTCTATGTCAGGTAAGGCTGTCCTCTCTGGCAGTTTGCCCTAATGGAAGAATGTTGTACCTTTTCCCAAGGTAGCACCTTCATTTCTAGCAATCATTGTTTCAAAGGTCACAAAGGACAGGTAAGAAAATCACATTCACAGAGAGGAAAAGGAAATTAACATCTGCGTATCCACTCTGTGCCAGGCACCTTTTATCTCATCCTTTTTGCAGTTAAGGCTAGTGAAGTTCAAAGATCGATTGCTACTCCTGTAATCATTGTCTTATTAGTAAGGCTCTTTCTCACCGGGTTCCAAAGCCCAGGCTTCCCCTCTTCCTGGGAGGAGGGGAAGAGTTAGCAGGTGATGGAAAAACTTAGTTTTCCCTTTCAGAGGCTGTCCTTACCTCTTATCTGCGCCTTCCGTATTATCATTTCCCACGACCATGGTGGAAAACAGGTATTTTCTGGCCACTACCTCCTAGTAGGAAAGAAATGTCCTGTCCTTCATCAGCCTCTCAAAATGTTCAATGTCCATCACAACAACAAAGTCAGGGGCATATCTCTGACAAGTGGTAAACAGCTGATCTGCTGATACTTCTCCCTTTTTTACTTTTTCCTTTTTTGCACTGGAGTCTCACCCTGTTGCCCAGGCTGGAGTGCAATGGCGCAATCTCAGCTCACTTCAACTTCCACCTTCCAGCTTCAAGTGATTCTCCTGCTTCAGAGCTTGAGTAGCTGGGATTATAGGTGCCCACCACCATGCCCAGCTAATTTTTTGTATCTTTAGTAGAGACAGGGTTTCACCATGTTGGCCGGGCTGGTCTCAAACTCCTGACCTCGTTATCTGCCCACCTCCCAAAGTGCTGGGATGACAGGTGTGAGCCACTGTGCCTGGCATTTTTTTTTTTTTTAGATGGAGTTTTGCTCTTGTTGCCCAGGCTGGATAACAATGATGCCATGTCTGCTCACTGCAACCTCCGACCTCCTGGTTCAAGCAATTCTCCTGCCTCAGCCTCTTGAGTAGCTGGGTTCACAGGCACCACGCCTGGCTAATTTTTTGTATTTTTCATAGAGATGGGGTTTCGCCAAGTTGGCCAGGCTAATCTGGATCTCCCAACCTCAGGTGATCTGGCCTCCCAAAGTGCTTTGATTACAGGCGTGAACCACCATGCCCAGCCTTTTTCTTTCTTTAGTATGAAAGTTCACTGCCCTTGACCAATTGACTTTGAGACCTTTTTGGTAGGGTTAGTGCTTTGGAATAATCCCAGCAGACAGAGTTCATTCCTACTTCTGATAAAGTATCGCCCAAGAGACTTAGGGATCACATACACACCTATAATTAGAGGCATTATTTTATTTTAATGTTATTACATGTGCATTTGCTTTATCTTTAATTTGATTACATGTAGTTACTGTTATTCTTTTAACATGAAGGAACATCTGTTCCACAGCAACTTTGAACAAAAACTGAGATGAGTGTTACCTTTGTCAAGGGAACTATTACACAGATAATTTAGCATAAAACTATCAATGTGTATTATAAAAGGTATGTCATGTGACAAACATGATTTCTTTATTTTTCTTGGAGATAAAAGTCCTTTGAAAACATGTTGGAGCAAGTTCTTCCAGATAGTATCGCTGCTTTGACTTCAACCCTCATTCAGAATAAACCCACCCTCCAAGGCCCCATGTGTGATCTGGTGCTCAGCCCTGCACCCCGCCCATACCTTCTGCACCTCAGCTCACCTCGCTGGGCTTCTGCCACTCTAACTCCCTTGATATTCTTCCTGCCACAGGGCCTTTGCACCTGGTCTTTTCTCTGCTGGGACCATCCTCCTCTAGGTATCTATCTGCTGCCCTTTCACTAAAAAGGCCTCTACTCAGACAGCACCTTATTACCGTGGTCTTTCCTGACTCATTCTGTTTCTGACCTTCACTTCTCCATCCTGGGGATTGTCTCTCCTTACCCTGCTTTGCTTTGATTTTCTTTCTTTTTTTTTTTTTT